TGGGGCAGCTGTGGGTAAGTACAGCTCCTGCTACACAGCCATCAGGGAGTCACAAAAACGTGATGTGTCAGGGGTGCCAAAATCCCAAAATGCAGGTTGCAACACCTAATTCCAGTAGGGTTCCTTCTTCCTCCCCCCGGCCGAACAGCGCTGTCATGCAGATACGCAACATGGGCAGGGCTGTAATAAATCAGTCATTTCTTGTCTGCTCTTTTCCTGAGCCGTGGGGCAGGTGCCGAGCTTCCCGGCCTCGAGGCCGGGCAGTCGGGGCAGGGTCCCCTCTCACTGCCAGCAGCAGATATGAACCATTTCTTACCCCCTTCGAGAGCCCAACTCGGGGTCTCCACCCGGTCAGCCACCAGACCTTGTGTTTGGTGTGAGGCACCCCCCCAAGCCAGATGGATCAGGGCACTCTTGGGGGAGTTTTCTGGACCAGCCTTCCTGCAGAAACTTTCTTCCTGGCCGCCAATATGCTGGGTGTGTTGTGGCCCAAAGCAGAAAGGCTGATACCATTTTAAAATTTGTTGTTTCCTGGCTCTGTTTCTGTTTTTCATCTGCCTTCAGGGATGTTCTCTGGGTTTGTATTAGTTTAAGTTTTCATACTTCGGTTAGCTCGGCAAGGCTCACTCCCCCTTTCTGCTTGTGCGGGGCTCCCACTTGGTCTGACTCGCCTTAGCGAAGAAATACTGCGGGAGCTCTCACTGTACCTTGCTTAAAAATGAATTTCCCTCTCATGACTTAAAACCAGCTAAATAGGAGGAGGGAGGATAAACATGAATGCTTCTGGCTGCTTATGGCATGGTGACGTTGACTTGATGGGGAGGCTGCTGCAGCTGCCTTGGTTAGGGATTTTTCAGTGGAGCATCTTTGACCATTTTTGTCCAAGACAGGCAGAGGCACGCACAGAGCAGCCGCTCCTGAGCAAAGCTGATAAAATGCAGCTGCCCTGAGCCAGCTGGTGTCTGAGGCACTTGGCCCAGTGTTCCTGGTAGGGAGGGGGATGTCATTTGGCACAGTTCAAGCTTTGTGCCATTGTGGGCAGCATGTGCTCTGCCCAAGGTTGGGGGGAAACGGCCTATCCGGCCCAGCTGCCCCCAGTGGGGGCTTGGCTCTGCCCAAATTTGGCTGGTTCCTGAGCCCTTGTCATCTCCTTGTCAGGTCACAGTAATGTGATTTGCCTGACGCTGGTTTGGCAGATGACTCAGGAGCAGCAGCCCGTACAGAAAGTCAGGCTGACTTGTCAAGTCGGATTTGCCAGTATGAATAACATCTCCTGCTTACGTCTGTTCATTGGCCCTGGTGTTATCGGTGGGGGCACTCAGATGCTGGAGCAATCAGCGCCTTATAAATGGTAATCATAGAAGGTGCCGAGAGCCATCTGTGAAGCCCTGGGTGGGTGGACGCTAAGCCCCTTTGGAATGGGCCTCTCCTTTGCCATGTGTGCGGTGGCACGCTGCTCCCGCGCAGGTTTCTGAAGGGGTCCCATGCCAGTGACTGTCACGGGACCGTGGTGTTTTCATCAGCTAAGCAAAACCTGTTGCAATTGCACCGCCAAGCATGGCGTAACATGGAAAAAGGTTTCAGTGCTTCTGTGTGCAGCGCTGAATTGGCGTGGTGTGTGTGAGACACCAGCATGTAACTCGGCACCTTTCCCTCATTAAATGGGGCTGGTGTGTTGGCAAAGCCTCTGGAACCAGGAGGAGGGATGTGATGATGCATTTATCAGTTTTGGAGTAGCAGAGGGATCTTGCCTGGTGGTTGACAACATTTAGCAGTTTTAGTCATGGAGGGGCAGTAAACAGCTCTGAGATTTGAGCTTTCAAAAATCTGAGCTTGAGCTTTTTGGCAGAATGGTCTAATAGAGCTGGCATGGCCCAGCCACGGCCCAGGCAGTGCACGGTGGTGCCGAGACACTGAGATAGCGTCAGTCCTGGATTTGGGTCTGGGCAGCTCAGTGCCCCATGAAAACCCTCCCGCAGTCTCTGTGGGGACTGGCAGTGACGGCCTGTGATGCTGGGAGAGGTTTGCTCTCTTCCGGAGCGAGGCCAATGGGCCCATGGAGCCATGCTGCTCCTGTTTAGCTTGAGCAAAACCTGCGCAGGTGCCTGGTAGCTGTGGGGGAAACCTGCCCTGTATTTCCATGGGTATAAACTGCCTTAAAATCACTCCAGGAGAAAATGACTAACAAAACTAATTGCAAGCTTTCAGGGCTTTAAGGATGTTCACATCGCTCATGTCTGTAATATGCAGCATATTACAGACAAGAAAGACCTCTTCCCTGCTATGCTTGGCTGTCAGCTTTGCCCTCGTACCTGAGGGAGGAAGGCGAACCGAGGTATTCACAAAAGCACTTGAGATCCCTGAGTCCCTAATCCTGCATGCTGAGAGATTTCTCCATCCTTGTTTCTGGGCTTCGGGATGACTTGTGGGGCTGTCCCCGCTGCAGAGCTAGGTCTAGGTCTCCGCACTTTGTACACAGTCCCACCACCATGCTCCCTCCTTGGCCATTCCTGCCAGGCACAGAGCCTTTGCAGGAGAGCAGTGCTGCTTGAAGGCGTTGTTAGATGCTGAAATGCATCCAGACCACCGAGGATGCTGGTACAAAAAATAATTCAGTCCCACCACCATGCTCCCTCCTTGGCCATTCCTGCCAGGCACAGAGCCTTTGCAGGAGAGCAGTGCTCTGCTTGAAGGTTGTTAGATGCTGAAATGCATCCAGACCACCGAGGATGCTGGTACAAAAAATAATTTAAAAAAAAAAAAAAAAGAGGCAAAAGTGCTTTTTATGTTATGGTGGATCATCACTGGATGTTATTCTGTAAGCATGTGAATTTTACAAGCCTGTCATTGAGAGAATCACAGTTACGATGATCTTTCAGTGAGCAAAACCACCACACTGAATTTGCATGCTTTTTGCTTAATACGAATCTGCCTTGAGCCTGTGTGCTTTCTGAAGGGCTCAGCCAGGGAGAGTGTCTCCAGAGAGATGAAGGGACAGGTCTCTTCAGAATTCCTGCAGGAGGGCTGCTGCTGGACTTGTGTATACAGGGACCTCCAAAACCCATAATTATATTCCTAATTAGAGGCTGCTACTTCGCCAAGCCATAAACAAACTACAGTTTGTTTCTCAGATTTGATAATCAGCTCGAAACAGGCCCCTGCCAAGGTACCAGCCCTGTCCGGCTCCTGCTCGGTGCCCGTGCTGACATGAGAGCATCTTCATACTGCCCGTCCTCCCCTAAAGTGGGGTGAAGGATTTTGAAGGGCTGGGGCTCTGTGTGCAGGCTGGCAGTCCAGCACAGGGCCTTGCCGTGCCGTCCCAAAGGCTTGGGTCACTTTGTTGCCTTCTCTGCTCCTCGGTACAAACTTCCTGAGTGGTCCAGTCCACTCAGCTGCGGTCTCTGCTGGGTCTGTTGAGTGAATTCCTGCAAGTCCACCCAGAAGCCACGAACTCACTGAAGATGGTCTTACCGTCCAAATGGTCTTGCTAATTTACCTTTTGTGAGTGAATGACCGTGGTGTTTGGATTATTGGTGCTATGGGGAAAAACTGAGGATTTATACTCCTTGACCATATCTGTGCAGCTGCAATAAGGCCCACCTCCAAGTTTTGTAAACCCTCTCAGCGTTGCAGAGATCTTGTAATGTCTTTGTCCCTCACTGGCTGCATCTCTGACTCATTTGAGACAGCCCAAAAATTGCTGTCTCTCAAATGCAAGGGTGAGCTGGCACTCTTGGTGAATTGGGAGAACTTGGCATGACACTTAATCAAGAATAAGTGTGTTTTACTGGAAAGAGGTTTGCATCTGTGGGGTCTGCAGGGGCTGTTTGGCCAAGCCCGTACGTTGAACGTTGAAGTTTTGAACAGCCCTGACCTCTGGGTGAGTGCTGACCCGGATGCGAGCCCTGCAGGTAAAGCCTTAGGGATACTTCTCAGTTACCACACGGTTTAGCTAAATCCTTGCCCTGTAAGGAAAACAGTTGTGTTTTTCCCAGTGCGAGGAGGATGAGGTGGGCTTTGAAATACAGACAAAGGAGAAATTGTTTATCCAAATTTTCATCGTGTTTGAGTGGGAGGGCCAGATGAATACAGGATTGTTCTGTTGAAATCACTTTCTGTCTTGCTGCTGTTTAAATAACTGAAGGCAGCTAAGCTCCACGCTTGCATTAAAAAAACCCAAACCCAAAAAAACCTAAAGCCATGTTATTTGCTCTCACTGCAAGTCAATCAAGGACTCTGATCAGGAGAGCTCAGACTGAGGAGAGGCACTTGCAGTGAAGAAATGGGCGATAGAGCTTGTGTGTGGGAATAGTGCTGCCCAGGACACCAAGCCACCGAGATCAGCTGTCCCTGCCCTGGGGTTATTCTCTGAACAGAGCTGTGACTGCTGATGTGAATGCACCAGTATTTTGAGCATTGCTACACATTATAAGATGCGTTGCAAAATTTTTTCTATATTAAAGGGCCTTAGATCTATGCATTGTTTTTTCTAGCTGTAACTCTGCATAAAGGACGACTTCCTAAAGCCCCGAGTTGTCCTTTGTGCCAGCAACTGTGGTAAAGCAGGGAAAGGAGGAAGCATTAGTATTGGTGTTGTCAGCACAGACAGCAGAGGATAGTGATGTTAAAATAGAGGTTTTCCTGAATTCAGTAGGATTTGGGTTTCTGGATCCTTTGGAAAATTCCTCTGAAGTAACTTGTTTGTTTTGTTCAGGAAAGTATGTAACTGAGGAACTGAACCCAAACCACCTGAGCAGAAACTCAGATTTTTCTTGAAGTGGGGGGAAAAAAACCAACGCTTTTGTCCTGCTGGGCTGCAGTCTGGTACTAAAGCGAATAAACTCACTCCAGGCTTTGGCTGGGCAGGCAGCGCGCTCTCCGAAGGCCAGTCCCCCATACCATGCCATGGTGCAGCGTGCCCTTCGTTGGTGTGTTCAGTGCCCTCGGGTTGGCGAGGGTGAGAACAGTCTCGCCTCCTCCTGCCCGCCCCGTGCCCGGCCATGAAGTGCAGCCACCGGCCGGCGTGCTTCAACCCAGCCTGGCTTCGCTTGCGATTTGGGACCTGCGGTTTAGGAGCAGAAAGTGTGAGGCCAGTTTTGTGGTACCGGAAAGTGGTTCTTGCTGCTTTGATGAGCAGAGCCCCTCCAAGCCCTCGCCTTGGGCCAGATGCACTTGCTGTTGAACCAGCAAGACGTCCCTGGCCCCAGAAACCACCCAGCTCAATAGCAGAGCCAGCCTGTAACTGGGTGAGGGCTGTCAGGGTTTGGAGCTGGAAGAGGAGGGAAGGGAGCACCCAGGAACCTGCTGGGACATCACCCTGAGAAGGGCAGCTGGGGAAAGGCAACCAGGAGGTAGGGGATAAATTAGGCAAGGCACAGTGTGCTTGGCAGGGGAGAGGAGAAAGGAGAATTGGGAGACTAATGAAAAAGGCAATGGTGTGGCCAAAACAAAGCAGTGGGGCAGGGTGATGGATGAGGAAGGATCATAATATGCGGATGAGAGCAGAGTAAGGAGGTTAACAACAACTTAAGGAATGGAAAACTTAAATTCTCTTAATCCCACCAGACCTTCAGACAGCAAGTTACAGTTGTGTAAGTGTAGTCCATAAAACAGACAGCATAAACACTGGGTTGCACAGGCTGCAGAGGACCTGCTGCTCATGTCCGAGCAGAGCCGGGGGGGCTGCCCTGCCTGCTTGCTTCCCTTCAGATGTGTGCAGGGAAGCACTGGAGGACATGGAGGATTTGGAAATTAGCACATTAGCTCCCTGGCTTACTCATACTGACTAGCTTAGGAAACTTCAGCAGCTAAAAAAAAACACAAGTCAGTTGTTGTTAGGATGTTTCCACTTTAACTGGCCAGCAGCGCGCTGTGAGATACTTGTGGTGTGTGCTGCCTGTCCCTGCAGTCATACTCGCCTGAGAGATCTGGTTGGCTGACTGCAACCTAAGATTAACGCCTTCCCATGCGTGGCTTGTCCATGCCCCTCCCCCTGGTAAATTATTTGAATATTTTGGCAAAGGATTTGTAGAGACTCCAGTCCAAACTGTGCTATGGAGCAGGCGTACTCACTGCTGGACATCTTTAGCATGCTGAGACATAGATAGTAGGAAATCTGAAGTGAGCATGATGGAAATGAAGTAAGATCTTACGCAAATGCTACTTTGAGTGACTGTTTCCTGAGGACTGGGTTCTCTTCTGATAACGTCTGGTGCTGCCCCACGGATGTCAGTGGCATGGCACCAGTTTGCATCGGCAGGAAACGGGGCTGTGACCTTTTCTGTCCTGCAGACCGGATGCCTCTTTAGCTTTTACATTGTATGTGTTTATCTTATAAAGTTCAATTCCTCTGACTCAGTCTCTTAGCTTCTAGTAGAAAATCTCCTGTCCTGGGGAGGAAACCTGGTGTGAAGCGAGAGCGCCAGCTGGCCACGGAGGTCCCTGCAGTGTCACGGGCTGCCTGGGTAATCCCAGATGAGTGGCTTGGTCCACCCGTGTGCCCCTTCCTCTTTGGGAATAGCAATAAGGCCATTTTTGTGTCTTCTGGTGACGAAGTGGGATAACATGGTAAGTACAGCCAGCCACAGACTTACAAAAGGGCTCAAGCACTAGCAAAATTAGGTATCTCGGAGCTTATGTGGGAATTGCCACCTTGGATTTAGGAGTTGAATATCCATCTCAATCCTTCTGCAAGAGCTTGAGTTTCCCCAGAGAGCAGAGATGGCAGGGGGGGCTGCTGCACATGCCCAGAAGTGCTGAACAACTTGGGCTTATCCCCTGCCTGAGCACAGCTCAGCCTCCAGTGAGGCTCTGTCTGCCTCCTCCACGAGGGCCGGTTTATCAGCCAGCTCGGTGTGTGACCAGTTAATTGCAATGGTCACTAGAGGTGCCAGTCTGAGGTGCTTAACTCTCAACCTGCAGTGTGATGGGAATCAGGGCACTGAGGTTGAGAGCCTGGTTTCCACCCTGGAGTCAGATTTCCAAAAAATCAGTGTCCTCATGCTCAGCATCCCTGTGCTGACGTCTCACTGAGGACCTGACTGCCAGTGCTGCAAGGATGGGTGACTGTCCAGGATGCAGGGAGAGCTGCGAGGATCCCAGCTGGAACAGAGAGGTATGAGGGCTGCTTCTTATTTAGCCTAGCATCTGTTCAGGAGCATAAATGTATGCCTCACCATTGTGTAAGTACTCAGCCTTTGGGCTGATTCAGGAGAAATTAGTTCAGACAGCCCTTCTTATCTTTTTGTGCAAAGTAAGAACTTTAAAGAAGTCCCAGCTTTCTTTTTAAATTCCTTGTTTATATCAGATCATATGTCTCCTTTTTGATACTCCTTTAAAATTAACAGCAGCGATAGCCAGCGGTGGAGTTGTAGCTGATGGCCTATTGGATTTGTTTGCATTGCTGTGGAGAGGCAGGTAATAATTGCCAGGCGGACTCCAGGCCTGCAGAGCCTCCAGGCTCTTCCTCCATGGTGTTTACACAAATCCAGCAGCAGCTTGTCCCTGCTCTCTGTGCTTGGTCCGTACCCGTCTTGTTCTCGGGGATTGAAATCTCTCACTGGCGGGAGCCTGAAGTGCTCCGCCGGGCTGCGTTTCACCAAGCAGTGCTTGCCTGTGGGGTTGGGGGTTTGGTCCGGCACTGCAGGAAGGGCTGCTTTTTAGGAGAGACCAGTCAAATTGTGTAACATCACCAGAGCCTACAAAAAAAACCCTGACACTTGGGTGTCTGGGACATCTTTGCCTTTTGTTTGAGCCTGTTACCCAAGGTGCAGCCCTGCGATGAGAAACAGCGGTACTACCTTTAATTTTTCCCAATGTCCTGCAGAGTGTGTAACCCAGTGTTTGAGTTAATGCGCACACGTGGGTGTCCCACGTGCTGAAACACCAAGGTGGTCCACTTTCTGCTGTTATGGAGTTGAGTGCGACATAGTTTATTCAACTTTATATGTCACAATACAAATATTGATTAAATATGTTAGTAAGGAGTGGGTTTGCTTTCTAATCCTAGAGTGGTTTGGGTTGGAAGGGACCTTTAAAGACCTAGTCCAACCCCCCTACCATGGGCAGGGACATCTTTCACTAGATCAAGGTGGACGCTAATGAAGGATGCTGATCTTAAACCCGATTAGTATCACTGTGAATGCAAACTTATCTTGCTCAGAAAGGACTCGACTGGCTAACAGATTCCTGAGAGGGTCAGCTTCTAGGTGCAGAATTCTAGAAGGGGACATACCATGATATTAAAAAAAAAAAGTAAAGAAAAAGAAAACAAAAAAAGCAAGCACAGAAATGTAACTCTTCAGAGAGAGGTGACAGTGCCATCCATCACCGTCATCCGGTGGCCTGGATGACATCCTGAGGTCCTTCACCAGCTCTATTATGTCTATAATGATTGAAAACTGGATGTGTAACAGGCTATTGCAGAGGGACTTGTTGACTGGAAATCTGTTCGCGTTCAGGAACCACACTGGGAATTGTTTTAGGTAGTCTGTCTGTCTGTGGGTTTCAATGCTCTCCAGCTGTGTGTCTGTTAGTCATAAACATGTTTTCTCCTCTTTCCTCTTAGCATGGTGGGGAAAGCATTAATGCGCAGGATGGGAAGGGAATATGTACTGAGCATGCGAGCAAATGGCAAAACTGACTTTCTTTAACAGCTGCTTGCAGTGACTTCGGGCAGTGCTTATTGCCAGCATGGGTACAACGTTTATTGGCAGAGCTGGCAAACTTTTGTTTGGTTTTGCTTGCTCTGATTTTCATATAAAATGCAGCACCTTTTAAGGAGAAAGTTGAGTTGAAGGACTTAGGTTTTACTAATTGGCTCATAATACTGCTTTCTACTTTGCTTCTGGAGAGTAGAAATGGCACGTCTTGGTCCAGCCCAGCTCTGAGGGAGAGGGGGCCATTCCCAGGAAGGTTGCATGCCCCTGTGCGAGGAAGGGCAGATGTGCCCTGCTACAAGCAGCCATGCCCCGCTGACCCGTGGACTCCCATGCTGCCACCTGAGTGCCATTGGGCTTGCTGTGCGCTGCCCGCGAGCGGCTTTGGGGTGGGTGGCCTGGCTGGGCCAAAATAGAAGTCAGACATAAAAATTGGGAGATGGAGGAAATTCATCCCTCTCCAAAGGAAATGAAATCTCTGCAGTCAAGAAACATGTGGCTGCTGTGGTGCTAGTGAGCTGGATGTACAGCCTGAGCACGTGTTTTCACATGGGAGCATCTTGCTCTGGAGAAGCAGTGAGCCACTCCTCTGTCGTCCTTGGCTTCTTGTACATAGAAGTAGAAGAATTAAAAATAAACAAAACAAAACAAAAACAAAAAAACAACAAAAACCCCACACAAAACTCTTGTGAGCAGTGAACTCTCGAGGAGTTTTCAAGCCAAGAAAATACATTTACTTTTATGAAGGGTGAAAAACCAGAGCTCACCATAGCCTTTTGAAAAGTGCAATGCTCTGTGCTGCTTGGGAAAAGCGTAATCAGTAAAACTACTAAAAAAAAAAAAAAAGACTGCAAAGCCATGTTACTCAGTCTGTGAGTGCAAGTAAGGGAGCTTCACCTGGCCAGCACAAGAGTTGTACCTGTAGAGCAGTCATCCCTGCCACCAGCAGCTGGGCTTTCCTCAGTGGTGCTTACTTTCAAACATAGAAAGGGGGTGAGCACAAACAATAACTGGGAGAGGTGCAGAAGCTCAGAACACCAGTTTTCTTTCTCCGGGGAAGGCTGGGAGCTACCTGAATCATGCAAAATAAAGGCGTAGCTCTGCTGTCACGGCTTGTTTTGAGGACCTTGTTTCACAGTTCCACAGAAATGGTAATGGGGGAGAAGACAGCGATGGATGGACCAAGTGACCCGAGATGGGGTTAGAGCTTGGCGCAGTGCGGGTCGTGCACCTGCAATACCTGCTGCGTCTGCTCCCAGGAGCAGCAGTGCCTGGCAGCCGCTGCCTCTAGGGTGCGAGTGAACAGCCGTGTGTGACGGCCCAGGGCCAGACGCAGGGAGTGCAGGCGGGGAGTTGCTGATCTGGAAGGTCCCGTGGGCCAGTGCTCAGGCTCTGTGGTGTATATAATCCTCCTGATGTGTCTGGGATTTGCTTGTAGCACTCTTGCTCCCGGCAGGTTTGTTTTCCACATTCAACCCATGCAAGCACTTGGCGTTTGAGTTAAAAACCCTTGCAAGGTGGAGGACGGGGGTGGGCACACTCCTGCAATAAATGGAGGAGCTGCAAGTTAAAGAGGAATTTAATTGATGTTTACTAGATAGTTTGCTCTAATAGATGAGAAAATAAGCCATGTCCCAGGTCTGATTTTTTCCACTTATACAGGTGTAAATTAGAAGCAACAGTGTTGAATTAAATGTGGCGAAAGCATCACACATGGGAGGTGAACCAAGCAAAGCCACTCTCCCGGAGCTTGTCATTTGTCCCTTCTGCACCAAGCCCTAGGGGAACTTGCGCAACTGATACGTTTGTATTTGCTTGTATAAGAGGTTGTGGATAGATGAGGTGGTTCAGAAAATAAGGATTTCACAGGGAAAGATGATCTTCTGTCTTTGGCTCCATATGCGTCACCTGGGGTGAGCGAGGGAAACTTGGCTTTGTTCTTTATTCTTTATTCCTCCCGCCTGAATGCGAAGTTCAGGGATGGTGCTGTTTAACTGCTGTGATGCTGCTTCTTTTCCCAAATCAGTGTCTGTATTTGCTGTACACACTCAAAAATAATCTGAAGAGCCTGTGTTTATTTTGCTCACTGCCGCTGTCCTAAATTGACCTAAATTTGCAATAAAAGGCTGAAGTTTTAGCCACCCAGGCAAGGTTGGTCCATCTGCCTCCTGCCACACACAGACGTACACTGGGGGCCTGAGAAGCGATCGTAAATCCCTACTTGTATGGCTGGCACGTGTCTTACTGCTGCCACCAGGCACTCAGCCTGACAGCCGTCCCACTGAGCAGAGCAAGGACCTGCAGCTGCAAAAGCTGAGGCTGCCCCTGAAGTTTCCTTCTCTCTGCATCTGAGCTGACAAACCCCAGCAGGGCCGTACGGGGTTGAAGGGATGTTCTTGCTGTGCCAGTCTGTTGGTGCACGCACCTTGCCTGTGCCCATGGGGACAGCATGGGGCCCCACGCGGAAACCACTGGCGATGGCCAAGGACCACACAATCACAGGGGTGAGGTCCCCCCGTGGACTCCCTCCTCCCCTAACGCCCTGCTGTTGCCTTTGTGCTTTCCCAGACCGCTGCCTGCCTGTGGCCGACGAACCCACCTCCCCGAAGAAGGCGAAGAGCATCCCCGAGCGCCATGACTTGGAGAGCTGGTTCTCACCCTCTTCCCCTGAGTGGGCCACCGTGAGGGTCATCCCTGAAGAGGAGATGACGGAGCACAACCTTCTCGCTATCCGAGTCATGGTCACCAGTGATGCAAGCAGGTACTTTAAGATACAAGTAAGCCTATAAAAAACCTGTAAGAGCAGCTTGGTTTTCTCTGGAACACTAAGGAAAAATATAACAAAATACAGTACTGAATGTACATACAACTGGGGGGAAAAAAAAAAAGGAAAAAGACAAACTGCTCAGAATAACAATTGTTCTTTACCGCAGCCATAAATCCCCCAGACACATGACTCACTTTGCAGGAAATCTTCAAACATTTGCATCCCACACAGGGGCCTGAATCATAGAGAAAAACATTGCCCTGATCAGCCCGGGTTCAGCTCTTTGTGTACCAAAAAATGCCGGTTCAGGGATTAGGGCAGTGGGTGTGTTGTGGCAAAAGGTGCATCCTGTGACGTGGCTGCCTCCCACCTTGGGCATCATCCTGCAGCTCCGCACCCCAGGCCTCTCTTGGGGCATTTGAGGGCCTGTCCACCCCTAAGAAATCTGAAATGTGATGATCCTTGGGGAGCTGTCAGAGGAAGCCTGATTTCTGCGTACAAATTAGAATATATTGGCTTTCTGGGCAGGATTCTGTGGGAGTTCATTCCGTCTAAAGATTAGATTGGTATCTCCCGACTAAAGCAGTTTTCCTTACTGAGAACTAAAAAAGAAGAGGGGGAGGGAAAAAAAAAAGAAAAAAAAAAAAAGGCAAACCCAAAGCCAGCTGTTGCAAATGCAGAGCTATTGCTCTGTAAGGATGCTCATTCAAATTCTTGACATCCTTTAAACACCTATTTGTGGTGCTGTGTGTAGCTTGTGAAGAGCAACGCTTTTAGAAATGCAACTTTCTGCTATTCCCTGTGGTGGTTTTAAATAGCATTTGTGCTCTGCCACATGGGTCTGGGTGCTTTTCTAGGGAAGGATGAACCTCTCCAGGGTTCCTCTCCCACAGGGGACGGAGAGCTTGGGGAAGGGTTTCCTACCTGTTCGACAGACCCCCCTGTGGAGCGTGCGCTTGTATCCCTTGCTAATACCCTCTGGCTTGTGGTGCCCCCGCGGCGCCCGGGCAGCGATAAGAGTTGGCTAATCCCTCTGATCTGAGGGATCAGCTCCCTTCCCTGCGGCAGCTCCCGTGGCTGGATGGCGAGGCCCCTGGTTCCCCGCCAGCGGGACACGGCATGAGGGGCGATGCCGCATCTGTCACCGGCGTGGCTGGTGCCAGCAGCTCCGAGGTCAGCTTCCTGCTGCTGTGGCAGCTCGGGCGCCCTTCACCTCACACCGCTCCAGCAGGCCAGCCCCTGCCTAAAAAAGGGGGGATGAGAGAAATAGCAAGTGAGAAATGGCACTGCTGAGCTGGCTGCAGGGCACTCAGTGGGATGGGGAAAACGACCAGCTCGGTGACACAGCTTTGCAATTCAGGCTTTAGGTACTTGTGAATGATGACCACCTATCAAGCAGAGATCAGAGGAGAAGCTTCGTACTATAGCACTTACATCCTTGCCAGCCAAGGAAAATAAACATTTTGCTCTTTAAAACAGAAATGTATCAATCAATGTTAATGGCAGGTCTTTTTCTTTTTCTTGCGTGGCACTCTGCCCAATCTCAGTGTGGTATCTCCCCATCCACACAGTATCTCAGCTATCAAAGACTTCATATATTTATTTTTTTAACATATATCTGTATGCTTGACACAGCTTGAAAGACACCTAAAAAGTATGTGTTAGTGGAGAAATTTAAGGCCACTCTGATTCAGCCTACTGAGAGAGCAACGCACCTGGAGCTGTGCTCCCATCCTCGCTGCCTTGCTGGCCCCGGCCTCCCAGCACTGCTGGTTTGATCTGGGTGAAGCAGGGGTGCAGGACTGGCGGGCACTACCCATATGGCATTTACCCTGGCTTTATACTGTCTGTGGCCTTTGCTTTAGCTCTTCTTCCTCCTGTTTCCTGGGCTGTGCCTTGGGCTGTTACAATAAATCTTTACTTTCTACAAGGCCATGCTATATAAACACGAAACAGCTTTCTCCTGCCACACCAACAGGATTACTCATGGCGTAAGATCCTCTTTTTTAAGGTAGAGCTATTAATCATCACAATAAATCTATGAATTAGGTTAGCAGTATTGTTTGCATTAAAAATAGGGTGAGTGGGATGGTGGCACGCTTATTTATGGCAGTGGGAACGTGGTCACATCAGAAAACCTGAAAGTACCTGTTCCCTACAGTCTGGCCTTTAGAGATGAAAGTAATCCCATGATTATTGAAAAAAGAACTAATAATCACCTCAAATGGTCGTTCTCCTGCCCACAGGCAAGGTCACGATGTGTGTGCCATTCACATGTGTTTGTGTGGCATATTTTTAATTACATTTAAGGAAGGGGATACCAAAATCTGCCTCTGTGACCAGCTCCGGTGCCTCATTGCGCTCGCTGTTCAATGGGCTGTCCCAGTGGCTCCCGAAGAGTTCATTTCCTTATTTCCTATAGGCGCCTTTTGCATGTTTGAGGGCTGTTTGCCTAGCTTCACTCAGTCTTCTCCTCTCTAGACTGATGCTTACAATTTCCTCCAACTTCTTGCCTAAGCCCTGTTTGCTGGGCCAGTGGCTGTCCTCACCCCTCCTCTCTGGGCTCCCTCCTCATCCTGTATTGCAGCACCCAGAAGTGGGGTCCAGGCCAAGTGCAGCAGCTTGCTGTGGTCCAAAACGCTCCCCATGGCTCCGTGAGGTGCGCGACACACGATAAGAAATCATGCTGGTGCAATAACAAAAATACCCAAGTTTTGCAATAACAAAATACCTGAGTTTTACAGAGGTCTCATCCGAGCCGCAGATGCCAGCGTGGCATCATCTGTCACCTCAGGGTCGAAATGGCTGATGCTGCATGATTTCCAGCATGGGTTCCCCCAAACTGCTGAAGGCTAGGAGAGCCTCCCACCCCTCAGCATTTCCTCACCCTCCTTGGCTTTATCTTCTGCCAGCAGTGCCAGTGCAGAGGCATCCGTGTTGTAGGAGGGGGCTGCGCCTCCCCCGCTGCTTGCCAAGTGACAGGCACTTGGCAGTCACTGCTGCCCGGAGAGGGGAGCTGGTTCCAGGTCCCAGACGGGAGATGAGATGAGATCCAGCAATAACTGTATTGAATTGGTGGGTGAAGCCTACCTCACGGTCGGAGCGGGCTGCCCTGGATTTGGCCTCCCGCAAGTTCCCTACGGCATGCCTCTTATTTCCAAAAATCTGGGGGGAAAAAGGTGAAAAGTGTAGAGTTTTAACCCTCATGCCTTGCTTCTAGGTGGATTATGGCATTGCAGATGCTGCTGTTTCCCTTTCTTCATCTTGGTACAGCCTTGCAGGCAGAAGGGCCCATCCCTACTAACCGAGCAGTGTGGTGTTTCACCCCAAGTCTCTCTCGATGCCAGTTTGATTCCAGGTGCTGAGTAGCGGTTGTGGGTGTGAATCTGGGCAGCAGAAGTCTGACGGGAATAGGGATATCTCAGCTGTGTAGCACCTACTGCAAATTACAGTCCTGTAATAACAACAATGAAAAATGCAAAATAAGGACGTCAGCTTTGGCTGCAAAACATCTATTTCTCTGCTGCCCGCATGGCTGTCAGGGCTGACACTGGTGCTCGTTGCACTGAAGGGGAACGAATACCTCCATGCTGTGCATCTTCTGACATGTTCCACTTTCTTTCCATCTTGCCCTTTTTCCCCTGTAGCTCTGAGGTGGAGTCTGATTTTTATGGCGACTCGTCGAACGCTGAAGTGAGTGAAGGACAGACCTTACTGCTGGAGCCCCCCACCTGCCGGAGCCCCATCCGGAGGTGGGCATCGCTTGCCAGGAGCTCTGTGGCACCAGAGGAAAGCCCCAAAACATCTAAAGTTGCCGATGGTAAGCAGCATCCCGACCAGGGATGTTCCAGCAGACTCTCCTGAGGGCTGAAGTCAGGGCTGGGGGGAGAGGTTTCGAAGTGGAGGCTGTTACCTGTGATGTGGCCAGTTTGTACCCCTTAACGGTGTCTTTTTTAGGGTGGATTTCTGCCTTTTGGGTGCTGTAGCTGAAACAGCATTTCTATGATGCAGGGTAACCTGGAGTAGTTGTGCCTTGTGCTTTGCTTGCAGGGGTGGGATGAATGTCTTCCCACTGGTAAAAAGTTTGGGCGTTATTACTAGCCAATGCAGTATTTGTAGTGTTGCCTAAGCAAGGGAGACGTTGGGAGGCACTAGAGAGCTCTGCTTGGTTCAATTGGTATTTCTATCAGTAACTGCTTAAAATTTTTGTATCCAGTGAAAGCGCAAGGAGGAAAGGATATAGCTAGCAGGGAAGTGAGGAGAGGTTTAGGAACAGTCTGCCTCCACATGGAAACTCCTTTCTGGATCTGGAGAAGGTCAAAACTAAAAGATGTGCTAAAAACAGCCAAAGAAATACTTTTGCAGAAAATGAAAGTCGGTCAGCATTCATTTCTTCCCATCTCCCACCACCCCCACATCCATATATGCATTTTTAATCCAAACAGGAAAGGGGAGATTTCATACAGCAATTTAAATTGACTCTTGAATAACAAAGCCCTTGTTTAGGGCAAAAAAAGGACAGCAGCAAACCCCAAAGTGTGCCCAGCAGCATGTGACCCTGTGCAGTCACTGAAGGAGTTTATCCTTTTTCCTCCCCAATTTCATGCTCTCTCCACCCCTGGCTGCTCACGTCACCTTCCTCCCTGCCGTCACCTTCCTCCCCACCATGCCAGCCAGGTTATCTCCATCTTCATGAGCAGCCCTGTCTTTCGGCTCCACATCCTGACCCAGCTGCTTTATAGCATCCTCAATAAGTTTTTATCCCTTCAGTCTGTCCCCCCACCTGTCTGTCTGTCTGCCTTTCTGCTCGTGCCGGCTTCGCTGAGAAAAGAGCCAGTGTTGGTCTGGGGATAAGCGAGGAGAATTACAGGAGCTCTTTTCCTTAGAGCATCTCCCTGCCACCCCGCTCGCCGCCAGCAGCCCTTCCCGGGCGGGAGCTGGGGCCGGCGGCGGGTGCGCGCTGCCCCCTCCCGGCCGCCGCCGCGGGGAGAGGGACCGGGATGGCGGGGAGACTGGTTAGGAAACTAACCCCCCACCGCTTGGTTTATTTCTTTCCCCCCCCGCCTCTATTTTCGCTCTCTGGCTTTTGCTACATTAGCTGACCATGTGTCTTTTCTGTCTCTGTTCAGCACTACAGAGAGCCAACAGTTTTCACTCCACGGCATTAAATAAGTATCAAAATTGGAGAAGAAAACTCCAAACGGGTGAGTAAAGCCTGAGAAGCGACTGTTTCTTCTATTTGTACTGTCTTTTGTTTTCTTGTCTCCTAAATGTCTGTTTCTCCTTCTTTCCTTTAAAAGTTTTGTATTTTTGTCACTAGATGAGAAGACAGAGATGTAAAATGCAACAAATATTTCTTTTCTATTTTTTTGTCCTGAAAAGATCAAATTCCCTTTTTGCATGACTGTTCCCTATGCTATTACACCCACCAGCAAGTGGTGTCCACTTTAATTCTCCAGCCAAGAAAACGCATCCCTGTCTCTAGCCCTGCGTGTGCCGGTTGCTTTTGATCAGGTGCAATGATGGGTCTATCGTTTTCAGTATTAGAACTGCTCCTGGAGGTGCCTATTTACACCCACCTACAGGTGCTCTATCACCTCTTTTTTTGCTGGAAAAAACAGGTGATGTTTCTGGGTTACGGAAAGGGAACAAGTACTAATAGCCATCCCAAGAGGTGAGCTGGTGAAAATGAGCATTACTAGTTCTTGTCCTCTAGCGGTTTTGCTTAGTTTGGGCTGACCCCTCTCTGCCCACGGGAATCGCACAGGAATGCAGTGATTTCAGTAGAGATCGGGTCTGTGCTCACTTCACTTCTGAAACACGGTGCAGTCACTTCTTGCAGCCGGGGCTGCATCTAAGGAATTGTCCTGGGCTGCAGTCACAAAACAAGGCAGCCATCCCCAGTCACACCTCTGCTGCTCATAACGGGGTTGCCCAGCAGCCTCGGCACAGCCTCTCTGCAAGCGCACACGGTGCCTGCCCAGTGCCCACTAAGGACTCACAGGTACCTGCCGGAATTGATCATACCAGTATGGGAGCTAGGTGAGCTTACCAGCATCCTTCTCAAAACTTGGTCAGAAACGCAGTTGTATCTGTTAGGCTGGGGTGTTGCTAGCCTTAAGTGTAAAACATATATGTACAGCAACGGAAAGAAGGGATTTGTGCATGTGACTGAGTGCCACAGTTTCTGGGCATGGAGGCAGTGGGTTTTGGGGAACGGCGGTGACAGCTGCTTTTTGACCCTGCCCTCAGCTGCCCTCTGCAATGGAGGGGATTTCTGCTGCTGCTCAGAGTCTCAGTTGCCTTCAGAGAAGTTAAGGGCTCTGCTCCTGAAACAAGCAAGATCCCCGTGTCTGTTATGGGACCAGCATTCAAACAGAGGTGTCTTGGCTTGCTTGGTTTGAATGCACAAACAAGCTTCAAGATTATTTGCAAGTACCCACTGTAGGAAGAATTTTTATATCTCAAAAGAGGAGACAAGCTGCATCTCTCCTTCCTGGCATCGGACTCGCCTTCGAGTCAGATGCCTGCAGGTACACGTGAGCACTGTCACTACCAACCCTGCGGTCCCTTGGAGGCCCCTGGTGCCACACATCTGGGATAACTCAGTAAATCTTAGTAGAGGATGCACAGGCCTATTTCACAGTCCTGAGAGGATGCTCCCACCAAGCTCGACTTCAGCAAACCATCCCCTGTGACGGGCTGTCCCCACAGAGGCAGCCGTGGCAGATGGACAGGCAGATGGGCCGCGATGGGGTTGTGTTCCCTGGGATTCACTGCACCTCCAAGGTGCAGGGGACTTGCCGTGCCTGCAAGGCCTCTCTGGAGCAGCTGCTTGGGATGTCCCACCTGGGGGAAGGCTGTCTCCTGCCTGGGATGGGGAGGCGGAGCAGGGTGCCCTCAAAGTCTCATGGCATTTGTGTCAGCCTTGGGACTGTCTCTGAGCACTGTACAGCATTTGAGGATTGGCTTATAATCAGGTGCTGGCTTCACCAAAGGCTTGGATTTAAAATCTTGCCTTAATTAATCTCAGTTTTTAAAAGATCAAGCAAAAATTATGTTTATTCCAGGTTTGAGGGGAAAAAAGAAAGACTGAGAGGAAAGAAGAGAAGACCGGGGGTCACTCTTAATTTCGACTCATTTTCAGCTTGCTCTCAGCAAGTGCATTACTTAATCGTTTGCCAATTAATTTTCATATCATTTGATTAAAATCTTCTGTGTGCCTCCGAAGGGCTCTAGAGGGAGCTAAAAGCCTTTGAGAGGGAAGCAATGCGCTGCATGAATTTGCCTGAACCTCAAGTATGCTATTAAAACGAGGTGTAAAGCACATTCAGCGTATACTGGGAACAGAATAAAGGTGGTTTTTATTCTCTGGAGGAACACTGTAAATCTTAGTTTCTATATTTAATCCACTTAATATTTGGTTACAAGAATTCATATGATCATCAGTCACATGAAAGAAAAATCTGTCTCCTTTTCAGACTTATTTCCCAAAACACATATGTTTCATAAACAGCACGAGATATGCAGCCAAGGAAAGGAAATCAGTGTCATGGTTACATTGTATGAAGGGCTCAGAGCAGGATATTACCTTTCAAAATCTTTAATCCCCATCGCACAGCCACAGGGAACACCATGCTCTTAATTTATCTTGGTCAATTCGAGTAGCTTTTGGGCCAAGCAGATCATGATAGTGCCCCAGGGAACTTTTTTTAAAATCCTGTTTTGAATGTGAAGCTGCAAATATGGGTTCAGCGTCTTGGTGGGAATACGTCCGTTATCTCTGTGAAAGACAGCAAGCTGTGGCTTTGCGCAAAGCGATGTTCTCGCATGTGCAGGCCCTGTCCTTGTAAGCTAATGCACACCCACGAGAGCTGTGGTGGGAAGTAGTTCTCCCCATGGGCACGTGCCGTTACCCTGCAGACCCCTGGGCTGTGGGTTTTAAGCCCTCATCGGTGTTATGGCTGTCGCTGCTGCAGTGGTTGCGTTTTCCCCTCGGTGTGCTAAGCCATGATGTTTGCTTGTGTCAGGACGCGAAGGGCTTTAGTGGATCAGGCTAAACCCCCCTGGCTCGCTTATATGGGGGTTTCATCCTCATTTGGGATTCTTGTCTTTTCCCATGGTCAATTTGCTATACCGAATATAAAGGCCAACGTGCGTGGGTGGGAAAGGAGGAGTGTTTGTACTGTGTTATGGCGTCGCTGCTGCAGTGGTTGCGTTTTCCCCTCGGTGTGCTAAGCCATGATGTTTGCTTGTGTCAGGACGCGAAGGGCTTTAGTGGATCAGGCTAAACCCCCCTGGCTCGCTTATATGGGGGTTTCATCCTCATTTGGGATTCTTGTCTTTTCCCATGGTCAATTTGCTATACCGAATATAAAGGCCAACGTGCGTGGGTGGGAAAGGAGGAGTGTTTGTACTGGGGATGGAGAATCGGGGTAGGGTGGGGATAAGCCACGAACATGAAGATGGAGTAGCTCAAGTTGGATGCTGCTTTCTTAGAGGACCATTGTTGGACTTTCTCAATGTGTCTGAAATTATTTGAAGGGTGGTTTTTTCTCTTTCTTTTCCCCTCCCCTGAAAACTCATTGCAAAAAGATACAGAAAGCAAGACCAGCAGCAGACCAGAGTTATGGTATCCCTTTGACCAGGTGACAAAAGCTGGATTTGTCTCCATTCAGCCCCTCGTTGCTGGTCCCTATGGGAGTTCCTTAATGAACTCCAGTGCATCGTTTCCCTCCGTTCTTGACTGAATGTAACAAATTGCGGCAAGATTAGGAATGCACAGGTGAGACACTGAGAGGAAAGGAAAGTTGGCCTCTCTCCCTGGCTTGCCTTTTCTGAAGTCCACATGCAGGAACTGTCTTCTTTCTCTGGTGTGTTGCTTTTGTCTTTATGCAGCTTTTAATTCCTACATAGAAGAATGAAAGTTTGCTTTGGGAACCTTTGTGGGTTTCAGAACTAATAATTGGGTTTGGGAGTTAATAATTCAGCTATAAATATACTTGTTATGTTAAAGCTTGACATGGTAATATCTTGGCTCTGGGATACTTTTCTTCTGTCCAAAGATTATTATGTAAAATTCCCACAGGTACAAATATTAGAGAGCTCTCCTGACGCCCTTCGGGTGCAAGTTACCTCCCTATTTTTGTTTCTAGCAGGTCTAAGTCTGTCTGTGCTAGTTTTGGTTCAAGACCTTTAGCAATTAGTTACCTTGCCTGATCCTAGGAGAGACCCCAGTGCACCGCCCTTTGGCCTGGCATGGGAGACCGCAGGATTGTTTCTGTCCTTACTGCCTGCAGGTGGTTGCATTTCCCATTTCTTTCCCATTCTGACGGACAGCCCTCTCAGAAGTCATCCATTTTCTTCATTTCTCGGAACTACCCAAAGCTTCACAAGTCACTAGTTGTTTCGACTGCCTCTGCTTTTAAGGCTTGAAAACCCTCTGAAAAAGGGTAGTTTTCCAGAAAGTTTCCTGGAACTCAAAAGCTGCTTCACTACATCCAGCCAAAAAGTGGAAGCAGTTCAGGCCCACCGCTGAAAACATCAACATGTGTTTGGCACAGTGTGCACACACATGTGAGTGAGGCCATAAACTTCATTACTGTAGGTCAGCTCTTCAGGTACAACTGTATCCAGATGACTTCTTACCTTTCTACTCTCGTTCTTTAATTGCAAACTTTATTTAAGACAAAAGCAATACAAATATGATGGTAAAATTTGTGTCTTTGGCAGGTTTCCCTCTACTGTCCAGCAAGAAACCTGGGCTACACTGGAAGGACAGCTCAGCCAGCTGTCAAAGTGGTCCTGGAGAGGATCACTCCCAAACACAGGTACAAAGGAGAATTGTGCAGAGCAAAACGAGCGTAACTACTGTTGGGGCATGTCTGCTCTCGGCAGGCTGTCTGATGGGCATCCTCTGCTCTTTCAAATAGTTTTGGTTCTCACAGTAACCAGCAAAAGTTGGAGTTATGCCTGTGCTATACATAGGAAAGAGTCTTGGATGCTCTGATTGATATAACCATTCCCAAGGCATGTGGCTAAGTGGCATTTGCTTTCTGTGGGACTCAGACCTCGATCACACTTAGAATTAGGCACTAACCTGTTGCATCAACCAACATGTAAGCACCACCACCCTGCCCTTCCCTCACAGCATGGGGTTTAGCTGCCACTGGGATTTCCTCTGTGTCACAGTTTCTGCCCAAAGGAGAGGAAACCCCCCAAATCTCTGTCCCCTGGTGCTCCTGAGCTGGCTGTTGGTTTGCCCGTGTGGTTGTAGGGCTGGATGGAAACGTGTGGGATGTTGGTCAAGGCCAGGTACCATCAGTGGTGGGGTGAGAAAGTGTCACATCCAAGTGGCTTAAATGCCACTTCATTGCTGTGCATCACTGGGCGAAAGGCAAATGCCAGCACCGGCCTTGGAGAGCAAATCTGAGAGCCAAGGTAAGGGCCCACATAGTGCCGGCCATAGGAAACCTGGCATAGGATTCTGGGGGATTTCAGGCCATTGCAGCCCTTAGACATAGGTGTGCCCGTGTCTAATGTTTACCCCTTGCATCCAGTGGGCAGAAGACTTCTTTTTTTAATTTGCAGCAGGCCCTTGGCTCCACACCTCCCACAGCTCGGGAGCATCTTTAGCTTCCTTCAAGACCTAGGATTTCCATCGTATGTTCTGCCTTTTTTTTTTTTTTTTTTTTTTTTTTTTTTTTTTTTTTTTTT